GTCTCTTTTTCTTCCTTCAAAGTCTTTCTCAGGATAATCCTCTGGTGTGGTTGCTCTTTTGCAATCTCCACTGATTACAATGCTGGGCTGAAAAGTCCAGGTTATTTTATGTTATAAGTTCTTTCATATGTCTTCTCTAATCCTCTCTGCCAGATAGAACTATATGGTGCCAGGCCATCTTTCTAAGAACTTCTGTTGGCTTACTTGAGATCCACCTTAGTTCCATAGTTTTCTGATTAATCTTCAGGTATGACATTCCAGTTAAAGCCCTATCCAATAATGAGTATTTCCAGTTTCTGATTCAATGCAACAAGCATTATTGAACTTATACCCTTTTGCCACAAAATAAGAATACTCCCAAATATTTTCCAATTCCAGAGGGGTCAGGAAAAAAGAAAAGTTTATGTTTCCATTTAAAAAGACAAACAAGAAAAATGTTTTAACAAAATGCTGAACCTGTTAACAACTCAGAAGAAAGTAAAATGCTTAAATTGGGAAAACAAAGCATATTTAAAAAAAAAAAAAACAGTAATGTTTCACTCAAAAGTCATAAAATCCTATTTTGCCAGTTCAGTCTTACGCTCAGCTCTCTTCTGTTGAATTTGCAGTGTTACTGTGTTCCAATGTTTGTTTAAATCATGGAAGTTAACATTCAGCATTATTATTGATATTTCTCGTCCCTTGCATTAAATTGGTCATTTTCTTGGTTGCCTTTTGTTCTCTTATGTCTTTAGTTTTCCTGGTACAGCACTCCTTTCAGAACTTCTTGAAGAGTGGGTCTGCTATTGGCAAATTCTTTCAGATTTTGTTTACCTGAGAATGTTTTTATCCTTTCTTTCATTATGAAAGATAATCTTGCTGGGTTTAGTATTCTTGGTTGAAATTATTTTTCATTTAATACTTTGAATATATTTTCCCATTCTTCCCTTGCTCGCATTGTTTCTGATGAGAGGTCTGAGGTTAGCCTGATTGGATAATCTTTATAAGTAACCTGACGTTCCTCTCTTGCCAATTTTTTTTTTTTTTTTTTTTTTGGAGAGGTTTTCGCTATAGGGCATGTGCGCTCACCAGAAAGACAGAGAGAGATCGAGAGACAGAAAGTGAGAAATCACCGCCCAGGGGGGATAGCCATGCCGCAATCCCTTCTCCTTCATTCTCCTCTCAGGATCTTGGGCGCGCACGCACACGTGCCTGGTGTGAGTTTTAAGCCACCGGGTCTGTGACTCGAACCATGTTCGATTACATGGGAGTCCAGCGACATAGTCATTATACTAACTGCTGGTCCCTCTCTCTTGCCAATTTTAGTCTCTTCCTTTATCTGTAGATTTGGCCAGGGTGGCTATGATGTGCCTTGGAGAAGATCTTCTTGGGGTAATTCTGTTAGGGGTCCTTTATATTACTTGGGTCTGGATATTTGAATGTCTCTAGATTTGGAAAGTTTTCTTCCAAGATTTCGTGGAATAAATTATCAGTGCCCTTATTGGTTTCCTGGTAGCCAAAGTCTGCCAACACAGAAGTTAGAGCAGACATGCAATTTAAACCTGTAGGTTTTTTGAAAGCTAACATTGAACCGTTAGCCCTTTGTCTTATAAGACAGTTATTTTAGGGGCCAGCAAATGGTGTGGTGGTTAAGGCACTGGATACTCCCACATTGCCGACCACGCTTCAAGTCCTGGACTTGGTGGCTTGCTTTCTCACTTTCCCTCTCTCTTTCTCTCTTTGTGTTTCTCCTTGGTCAAATTAAAATAAATGAATAAATAAATAAAATTAAGTAATGCTTTACCCCCCCCCCAAAAAAAAGACAATTATTTAAAGAAATCATCTCTCTGGGGAGCCAGCAGGTGGTGGTGGTTGAGGTGCTAGACTCCCACATGGCCGGCTACAGTTTGGGTCCTGACCTAGGGCTTGCTTTGTCACTTTCCTTCTCTCTCTCTAACTCTGTCCCTCTCTGGTGAAATTTAAATTAATAAAATAAAGATAAATAAAATGATTTAAAAATAAATCTCTCTCGGGAACCAGCAGTTAGCATAATGGCTATGTCGCTGGGCTCCCACGTAGTTGACTGCGGTTCGCATCACGGACCCGGTGGCTTAAAACTCACGCCGGGCGCGTGTGCGTGCGTGCCCAAGATCCCGAGAGGAGAATGGAGGAGAAGGGATTGCGGTGTGACCATCCCCCCTGGGGGGTGATTTCTCGCTTTCTGTCTCTCTGTCTCTCTCTGTCTGTCTGGCGAGCGCACGCGCCCTATAGTGAAAACCTCTCCCCCCCTCCCCCCAAAAAAAGTCTCTCTGGAATGATGGGGGAAAATGGGAAAAAATTTTTTAATGATGGGGAAAATTTAACATATAAGTTAAATTAAGAGGAAAGGTGTATTAAGTCACCCATGAATCTCAAATCTGGAGTTAAAGAGAAAACCTGGCTTTCCATGTGGCAGTTGACAGTACTGCACGCCTTTCAGGAGCTAACCCCAGACAGCCTCTGGAGGTGTACAGACTGGGCAGGGAGCACTGTGGCCTCCTCCAGCCTCTCAGCCTCCATTGCGCAGGCAGCTGTGGCCGTCTCCTTTCTGGGCAGTGGACACAGCCCCAGCCCCAGCCCCAGGTGGTGTCTGAAACCAGCTGTAGTTTTGAGCCCTGTGACTCAGTGTGATGACAAAGGAGACTGGCTAACAGGCAGGTGGCAGAGACAGTGTAGACAGGATTGCATCTTCTCGCTCAGACGGGCATGCAGTTAAGAACTGGGAATTACTTCTGGAATTTTCCACTTCATATTCTCAGCCCACAATCGACTTTGGATCATTGAAACTCCAGGCGTGGGGGACTAGTGTGAGTGCTACCTAGTGTCCAGTGACGTTTTCTCAGTTCTCAGGAGCGTGAGCCCCAGTCCGGTGCTCACTGGTGAGCACCAGCAGCATTCCTTTTGCCCCAGGACAGCACTGTTCTGCGTTTTAGTCACAGGAGACAGAAGTGCAAGTTTGCTTCAGCTTCCAGTGGGCTCTGTGGTCCTGAGAGTCCCAGCAAATTGAGCTGGGAGCTGGGGGCCATCATCCCCTCCTTACCTGGGCCTGCCCTTGGTCAGTCTTCCTGCCTGTGAGCGTAGAGAGGCAAGCCCGCAGATTTGGGTTCTGTCTGCAGCACCTGCCCACACTGCCGAGGAGCCATGCTGACTGTTTTCTGCCCTGAGTCTGAGGAGGAGGTGTGGGCTTGGAGAGAACTCACTTGGTTGCTTGGGTTGTGGTCACGCCACTAACACACGTGCTGCTGTCTCCTTACACAGGCAGTGGGAGCAAGTGCAGCAATTCCATTTCCGTGGGGGCGTTTCTTGATGAAGAAGATGACATGAGCTTGGAAGAAATTAAAAATCGGCAAAACACAGCTCGAAACAATAGCCAGCTCACTACAGGCACTCCGGGAGACTTGGGGTGCTGCGTTCTGCCCTCAGAGCAGAAGGCCGACCTCATAGAAGCCCCAGAGCTGAGTAGTCCTCACAGCAGGACTGCGTTTTGTAGTAAAAAAACAGCAGGAGTGGGTTTTGTAGTCCTTTGAGTCACAGCAAGAGCCGGGGCGGGATGAGACCGGCGCCCCCTGGTGGGGAGGACACCTTGCTCGCACCTGTCTCCAGCCTGACTGTTGAGTTTGACCAAATGAGTTTGCAAGGTCTAGGAAGAAACTTTACTAAGACATCAAATAACAGTGTCATGAAAACTAAAGAAAAGAAGACCCTGGCTTCAGGAATGGATGCAGGAGATAGTGACCTGTTAGTGCCCCCTCCTGCTGTGGACAGACTTGGAAATAACCAAGTAAGAGAAGCAAGTGAGATGTCAGCTGCAATGGCTACCGTGGCCTTGGGCCCCAGCAGCCCAGGACGTGATGCCCAGCACAGGTGTGCTCCCGTATCCGGGGCTGCCCCTGCCTCCAGTGCCACAAGGCTCTTCCTTTCTGGGTAGGTCATGCAGTGCTGTCTGTGGTCCCGTCTAACCCTTGTCTTTTCCCATGCTTTGAGTGTAGGACTCCAGGGTGTCCCAGCTGAGCTGGCCTACCCTGCATCTCCGCTGCTTGCTAGAGAGATCAGTGCCCCTCGAGAGCCTGGGTCTGTGCCCAGAACGGCGTTGGCTTTAGGAAGAGCTGTCCGAGTCTCCCAGTTGATAAAAGTACCCAGCCCTCTACTGCTGGTCGCCTTTTGGTGTAGAAAGGTGCAAAACTGTTTAACAGCAGGGGTGGACCCTGCCACCACAGAGCACCAGGCCGGTGGCCTGGAGGCAGCCTTCCCCGTCACCCCATCGCTTACCCTCTGGACAGGGGTCCTCGGCCCCAGCACAGGCCTGTTCCCTGGCGTGCTGGCTGTGGTTCAGTAGTGAAATGTGCTCAGGCCAGATGGCTTGCAGGGTTCTGTTCATAGGCCAAGTTCTGGGGAGTGAGATGCAGTGGGACTTTGAGACTTTGTGTTTTTAATTAAAGATGTGTTTTTTTCTTGAATCCCTCTTACCATGCGTTCTAGAGAGGAGCCATCAAAACTAGATCGGGATGTTCTGGCAGCTCTCGAATGTGCAGACATTGACCCCCGTCAGTACCCAGCCGTGCACAGGTGGAGGAGTGCCGTCCTTTGCTACCCGCCCACAGACCGACAGAGGTACCAGTGCTTGCCGAGAGCCGGCTTCTCAGTGGCCCAGTTCTGGCTCATGTCTGCATACAAGAAGTGTTTTTTTTTTTTTTGCCAAAGGGCACGTGTGCTCTGCAGAGAGGGGGTGAACACACCCCACAGTGGGATGTGGTCATGCTGCAGTCCCTTCTCCATCTCAGTCCTGTCAGGGTTCAGGTGTGCATGTACACACTCTGGGCGTGTTCACATTGCTGGGTAGAGACTCAAGCCAGCCACCCATGTGGGATCGGGCTCCCTTAACCTCTAGGCTGTGTGGCCAGCCCAGGAGTGGCTCCTTGATACCCCAGTGAGCTCCCCACAGGCCTGGGTCCTAGTGGTCGCGGATCCCTGCACATGGCGTGAGCCTCCGGCTGTGCACAGGAAGAAACAAGGCTGGCGGTGGGAGAAAAGGTGTTCGGGGAACAGCCAGGGTGTGCCCTCGCGGCCACCAGGTTCTCGTGGAAGGCACACGAGCTCTACCCTTCTGGTGCCTGTGGTTTTGAGGTCCAAAAGGCCCAGGTGTGTGTGCACACGCCTCCACTGCCCAGCTGTGCTAACACACTGTCTTGATTTCTCTAGTTGGCCGAGTCCTGCATGGAAGGGCACAGTCTGCCCTCCCAGCTGCAGTCCAGGAAGAAGCAGCCCTGGGAAGCCCAGCCGCACCGCCTCCCCCAGCCACGGCAGCCCCGGGCGCTACAGCCCTGCCCACGGGGGCCACTTCCGCAGACTGGCACGTCTAGCCGAGCTCACAGCCCTGTAGGTCACTGCTCATGGAGCTCCTTTGGGTCTTGGTTTTTAAAGAAAGAAGGGGAATGTGTTTGTTGTTAAATTTACACAAAAGAATATATATTCTAATTTAATCCTCTTTGTGGTAGCTTTAGTAAATGCCAATGTTCTACATGAAACTAGATTTCTGATATGAAACTTCCTGGACAATGTCAATGTAATGCTCCAAGGTGTTAGTAACAGAGAGAAGGGAGTGGGTCTGTGCTCTGGAGGAGGGGAGCTGGCCGAACTGCCATGAGGACGCTACAAAGATGAGTGTGTCCCTGCGTTTTCCTGGGGAAGAGTCTGGTTTGTCGGTTGATCTGAGTTTGGACAGAGTGAAGAGGCAGGCTGTAAGGAGCCTGAACCTCGATCTCAGACTTGTACAGCACTTGTAATTCGGGCCACTAAGAGCATTGAACACTTTGATCAGAAGACAAAAAGCAGCTTTTCTCTGAAAAATCTCTAGCCTTTAGGAGTCACACAAACCCACCAGCAATATTTAAGAGAGTTATTTTTCACCAGCACTTGATCTCAGTTATTAGCTGCCAGTGTAGGTAGCAATAGTAAGCTATTTGTAAATCGTTCTCTTATTTGGAAATTACTCCAGGATTCACTGAGCATGAAAGATGATCTCCCAGGTCAGGTGACAAGTGTCTCCTGGACATAGACCCGTCCCGGCCGGGTTTCCTTCAGAGACTGTGCAACAGTGCGGACAGCGGGGTCCCAGGTTAAAAGCCATTCCAGTTCCTCCGTGATGGGTTTATCTCAGCGGTGCCCTGGGCTTTAGCCTCAAAGGGTCTGTGCAGCGGGAGGCGCATCAGGAGCAGGGTCAGCTGCTCACACAGATGGTGTCCGGTGAGCCTGTCCAGTGATTAACCCAAAGTGAGATTTCATACCAAGGCTTCTGCTGACTTCAGTGCCTTCTATAAGTCGTTTTTAGTTTCCCTGAACTTTTACTAAATAGTGTAAGAGTCTTTACATTTGTAAAACAGCTCCATTGAAACTTGTGTAAAAACTTTAACATGGTAAGAAACAGATCAGGAATATTAAAGTCAAGATTTAGATTTTAAAACTGACTGTTCCCAGGATATTTTTATTTGGGTAGCAGACATCTAGATAGAAGACAGAAATAATACATTCTCTTCTAAAAGTAATGGCATTTTTAAAAGGCCTCTTTGTTCTCAGAAAGAATCTCAGAATGCAGGTTAAGTTTACACTGGTCTGTTTTTTTCCTAACATATACCATATTCTTCTGTATATTATTGTAAATATTCAAATGGAAATTAAAATCACATTCTGTCCTAACGTTGCAGATAGCTCTTCCTGTGTCCTCGGCTCCTGGGCCTCCTTTGACTTTTCCCTGTTTGTACCGGTGATGCCAGCATGAGTCCCAGGTCCTTCTAAAACTAATGGAACGGGCCGACTGGTTGCATGGTGGTGGCGGCTAAGGCACTGGACCCCAGCATGGCCGACTGCAATCTCAGACCCGGAGCCTTGCTTTCTCGTTTTCTCTCTCTCTCCCTCTGGTGAGTGAATGCACATGTCCTATAGCAAAATTAAAATAGTAATTTTAAAAAATTAAATTTTGGGGGGAAAAAAAGGAAATAATTTGGTTTTGGCTTCTTTTGCTATAGGATATATGCCAGAGAGACAGAAACAGAGAAAGTGAGAAATCACTACTCCCTAGGGAGACAGCCACACTGTCGTCTTTCTCCATTCTCCTCTTAGAATTTGGGGTATGCACACACACACATGCCCAGCATGAGTTTCAAGCTGCCAGGTCTGGAACTTGAATCACAAAATAAAATGTTTCTTAAAATCATGTAGTGGTGGGGCCAGCAGGTGGCATGGTGGAGTTCAAGCCCCAGACATGGCAGCTTGAAAATCACAATAAAGAGAGGTTGTTTTTTTTCCTGAGAGGTTTTGGCTATAGGGCACGTGCACTCACCAGAGAGAGAGACAGAAAGCGAGAAATCATGAAATCCCCCCCCCCCCCGGGCGGGGGTATGGCTATGCCACAATCCCTTCTCCATTCTCCTCTTAGGATCTTGGGCACACGCACATACGCCTGACATGAGTTTAAGCCACTGGGATTCGAACCACAGTCAACTACATGGGAGTCCAGCGACAACCATTATGCCAACTGCTAGTCCCAAGAGCCGTTTTTTGTTTTTTTTTTTTTTTTTTTAAGAAAAAAAATTTTTTTTAAATTAAACCATGTGGTGATAACTCTAAACTTTTATATAGATCATTCACCTGTAGCTGAGCAAAATGCCCTTTTAGTAAAATCTTTAACTGTGTTTGATGAAACAGTACATTAATCTGAGGGACAGTTTTTAGCCCCTCCGATAACAGTTGTGGAAACTGGCACCAGTTAGACAGCGACAGATTCTGCAGCCACATGTGGCAGTGGGACTTGTCACCAACAGGAACACCAGCTGTCCTGTCTCAGAGAGGGCTCGTGGTTCACGGAGCCAGGTCCCACATCCACAGAAAAGGGGCTTTCTGGTGACTTTTCCTCAAAACAATCACAATTAGTACTTAAAACAGTAAAAGTTTATTATGCAGTTATTTCCAAAGTGGACAGAGCGAGTCAGACATCCTGATCAGCGGTCCTGGCTGCAGAAAACTAGGACACGCCATGTCTAAGTACTAGAGTCCACGAGTGTCAAAGGTGAGCTGCCAGGGCAGACCACGCGAGCTGCTGGCCTGGGATGCTTCTCCGACATGGACGAGGACACAGCTGCCCACAGGAGGCCTTCCTTTACCTGTGGCTGGTGAGTCCCTCCACCCGAAAGGCCCATGTTCAAATCCAAAAGCGTTAGGCTTTTTAACTCTGGGCAGGAAAGCTGGTTTTCAAGGCAAGAACCCAGATAGGGAAATCTTTAACTGAGAAATACTTTGGTGACAGAAAGGTTTAAATGGAAAGTCTGTGAAGTGGGATGAGGCCCTTGGCTGGGGCTTTGCTGATGGTACCCGGGGTCCTGTGGCTGGCTGCAGCTGGGACCCTTGCGCATGCCCGCGGTCACCTTGGTGAGGGGATCGGCCAGGTTTGTTTCTTGGGGGGGCCACAGGGCTGTCCTGGCAGCTCAGAGGGAGGTAGGAAACCCTGATTGGACCTCGCTTTCCCTCCTGCACTGGAAAGTATTAAGTATTTCCAAGTCCCACTGGCCGCCTCCCGGACAGATGCAGGGCGTCCAGAGCTGGTCATGAGGAGGGCGGGGTCTGGGGCCCTCAGGACCGGGTGATCTTGTCAGGGGGCATGAACCCTGTGTCCCCGAGGGTTCTGAGCGCCACTCGGCCGTTGGGTCGGATGACCAGGTGGGTGATGCTGCCGTTGTTGAGGGAAAGACGGAGCCAGCCTTCGGGCGGGAACTGCAGGGCCCTGCAAGGGGAGGGAGAGCGCACTAGAGCGGGGCCACGCTGGCCACGGAGGGCAGACTCAGGGCTGGGCCCACTCGGAGAGGTCATCCCTGTCTCACAAGAGGTGGCAGGGCCAGTGGGGATGGATGTCAGCCATTTTTCCGATAAGGGATTAGTCCCCTACAGGGCAAGGGGGCAACCCCAACTGCACAGTTGCAGAAATGACTGATTTATTACAAGTGCAATGATTTACTTTCTGCGATTCCAGAAAGGTAGGGGAGAGGTGGCCACAACGAGGAGATCGACTTCTGAGGAGACTCGGGATGAGACTCCACTGTGAGGACATGCTTGTGTCTGCTGCAAAGCTCAGGGCTGTGGCTTCTGAGACACCGAGGGCCCCTGTCCAGGCAGCAGGAAGACGGGCTCCTCCCTGACAGTCTCGGCCACCAGCAGCCACCTTCACCTGCCATCCCCCTCGGTCCCCCTCCTCGCACTGCGGCACGGCGTTCCCCCCGGAGCCACATGAGCACCGGCACACTTCCCGCAGCACGGTCACTGCCATGTGACACCCTGCCTGCAAGCCACATGGTGCCACATGCACACAGGACTCACTCCAACAGCTCACTCTAGTTTGCGGCCTGTGCGGGGCCGGCTCAGCAACCCGAGACCTGCCATCATGGAAGACTGTCCCTGCCCGAGCCCGGAGCTGTCCACCCAGTGCCCACTCCATATCCCCAGCACCTCACATCCTTGCACTTCGGGGGCTGCCACTCTCCTGACCAGGTGCCCACTACTGCTTGCTATAGGGACATGGTCCTCACAGCCCTGGGGACAGGACCACAGGACAGAACAGCAGAGACCCTGGGCTTGGCTCAGGAAGGCGTCATGACCAGCGCTGTCCACCACTGCCAAACCTGTGGTCGCAGGAGAAGCCTGCATATGCTCCTCTGAAGCCCCGATGCGCATGTTCGGACAAATCTCGTACCTAGTGAGGTCTCAACAGTCCTTTTGCCTCTTTCAAACTCAAGCACAAAACTGGCCTCCCACCAGGGATCACCCCGAGATGCGGCTGCAGCCTGGCCGTTTCCTGAAGTGGTGGCTGAACCTGGGGCTACAGTGGAAAAGTACAGCCAGAGCCTGGGAAGGGACCTAGGGACAGGTCATGGGACTCAGGAGCCCGGGCAGACTGAGTTGGGCCCTGACCATAGGCACCACAGTCTCACGCACCCCAAACTCGCAGGCACAGAGGGTGAAGACGCCTCAGGAGACCAGTGACTAATGGGGACACAGGACACACACCACCAGGCAAACTGCAGAGCCACAGGGCGGCATGATGATAAACGCAGTGGGCTGAAGTCTAAGGGGCATAGGACGGGCAGGTGGCAGCAGGCCAGCTCAGCCTGCTGCCACGCCAGTGTTGCCAGGAGGGGCTGCCAGCACTAGGGACCTCAGCGGGCCGCCAGCAGGGGCCG